GACTTAGGGGGCTCGAAACCAGGAAAAGAAAGCATTTGGGGGTGGAGTGTGTAACCTACCAGACGTCAGGAGTGCCCGCCTTAAAGGTACAGCCGAAGAGGGCGATCCGTTTGTCTGCGAGGGTCTCACAGAAGTGCGAGGTAATCTTGCGGAAGAAACGAGACACCTGGTAGTCGTTCACTGTCAACACGGAGCCCCAGTATTTGGCTACGACGGGCAGATTCAGTGATTCACACATGTAGACCTAGGGCAACAGAGAGGAGGTCATTAGGGTACTCGAATTTTTTGACGTCAGAGTAGGTTTTAGAATGTCAGACAGAGTAACTTAGCGTCTCACATTAAGACTCTGCATTCGTAGCTCGTGGGTGTGATGGAAAAGAGATAGAATTCAATTCAGACACAAAACAACATAGAGGATGCAATCGGGAAAAAGACGAGTAAATACTATGTCGAGTTGGAGTACCTTATTTAGTCTAAGGAGTAAATAATTGAACTGGAGGAAGTATAAAGAATTACTTTTGCGATCTCAGATGGCCAGATGTTTTATCAAAACTCTAAGACTATGAACACGCAACTTAGAGGACTTTTCGAGATTTTCATTTCATTGTGTCGTGAAAATTATTTGAGCCTTGTGTAAAGACGCTTGCTGCAAAACTCAAACGCTTCAAAATTTCAAATACTTAATTTAAAGTAACTAAGATAGGTGAAGGTTTGCCCGATTCTCTTGAGAAAGTATACATACTTCTTCTACAGCAGGATTTAAAGAAGAAGAAGAAGAAGAAGAGAGTACTGCAAGTAGCTGAATACAGCGGTGCACAAATTTCTCTGAGAGTTTGTCGTGTAATCAGGGATTTGTGTCTATAGTTCAGGAATCCGAACTAAGGCTGTGGAAAACTTCCCGATTGTTATTTTGTATTCGAAAGGAAGCTGGAGGGATCTTCTAGTCATGGTTATTTCACAGTTATATATCCTCGATCAATATTCGGGTTGGACAGGGTTGTATCTAAAAAGTAAAGTCACAACAACTACTTTAGTTTGCGCCTACGTGCTGCTAAGGTTTGATGTAGTTCCGTTATCTGTATATTTCTTTTGGTAATTTACTTGTAGCTGTTTTTGATGTTGCTCTGTCCACATTTTTGACTTAATTCCGCTCTGCGTAAAAAAAACAGGGATTTCAAGTGTACACCTAAATGTCCCTCAAAGTAATTGGATTGAACTGAAGGAAAGCTTTCTAGACACAACGCTTCATAACACACGAGAATCGATCGCAATGTCAACTACGCCTCAACTCTCAATTTAATTGCAGAGTTCTCTTCACTAAGGAATTAGCAAGGCACTGCTACAGACCGGTGGGACGAATTTAATGTGTGGTAATTGGTACTAAAAATGTT